AGATATCGACAGAAGAAGGGTGGTCGGTTGTGTCGTGTTTGAACAATAAGAATATCAGTGAACAAAAGACGCAAAAAAGGACGACAAAAATCAGTTCATCCCAACAAAAGACCAAATCGTACAATTCACCATCGACCGCCTTAAAGACACAGAAAAGAAACACATCGACGACTATAATACAGTAAGACAAAATAATGACGCCAAGAAAAGTACTATTAAGATACTAAAATCGGAAATAAAAGGTATGACAATGGAAACTATTAAGGAAACCAATAAGGAAACTAAAAAGGAAACTAAAGAAGATAAAAAAGACGAGATACAAGAAAACCATCTTACAATTAAACAAAACGAAGAAAAAACAGAAAAAATCGTTGAAATACCACAAATACCACAAGCAAAAAAAGAAATCCAAATTCCATCAATTTCTGTTTTTTATGATGAAGGAAATATTTGTAATGAAACACAACAAAATGTGATTTTAGAAAACAACTTGATGTCGTCAAAGATAGATAAAAAACCAAATGAAAAGAAAAGTCCTGTTCCTGTTATATCAATGATCTCAGTCGTATAATCGTGTGGCTAAATGGTTAATTGAATTGGTTAGCACTTTGTTTGTGTCGACTATTCAATTGATAGAAGTAAGAGTTATCAATTACTTTAACTTTTTGTAGTTAAATATACTATATTGTAACTATTTAATTAAACTAAAATTTATTAGGTTGTAAAAATTAGTATTTATAATAGTTATGAAAATAGTAAATATTTCTAATTTTTATAATAAAATATAGTATAAATATTAATAAAAAGTACATAATACTAATACTAATACTATTAGTTAATTAGAGTTTATAACCAATGATAATAAACCCCATAATAGTAATTAAATGATATTGAAGTATATATGAAATAACATAATAATTGAAATAGGCCGGTTCTTTAAGTGATTCAACATTCCGAGTGTTGGAATCAAAGCAGGAACCAAGATATCAGTTTGTTCACAATTGGGATTCACAGGAGTTCAGGTTTCAAAACATACTAATATTTTTTATCTTATCAAAGTATTTAAAAAAATAATTAAATTATTCAAATTTGTGTTTTTTGATTTAATGTTTTATCACAGAAATTGATTAAAACAACAACAATTTCATTCAAAATATAAAAACACTGTTTATTACAATCAAATGTTTATTTATTGTGTTGTAAATGAATGAGAACATCAAAGATTTCATTTTTATATTATTAAAGTTAGAAATAACAAACAACAGCAAAATCAAAAGTATTAAAAGTATTAAATAACCATTACTGGTATGAAGCAAAATATGACACTGACTACCCAATACAAAAGGAATGACACCCACCCGAGGACTCTGACTGTCTTATTTGTTGTTTTTCTCGATATGATGAAACCAACCAACCACGGGATCACAAACAGAAATCCAAGTGCAAACAAGATGATGAAGATTTTGTTGTATTTTACGTTGAGTGTGTTGTTGTCTTCGACTGTTTGTTGCGCAAAGATTGGTGTACTTTGATTATAGTTTTGTTGATATTGCGGTGGTTGATATTCCGAATAAGCTGGTCCTTGATATTGGAAAGACTGAATTGGGTATTGCTGTTGTTGAAAAGGGACTTGTTGATCAGTTTGACTTTCAATGAGAGGCGCAGTTGGGACTGTGAGTGTATTGTAAGACGTGGTGCTGTTCATTTCTATTACATTTTTATAAGTTTTTTGTTTTATTATATTGTAAGTTTAACAAGAAGAATCTATAAATTCTGTATTTATTTTTATTACAATTATTAATGTATTAAATTTGGATATTATTCAGTGCTATAAACCGGATTCAATTGGTGGTTTGCCAGTGTCAATTTGTAATATTTTCAACCAGAATTTGTGTTTGTGTTCGTCCAAACTATACCCATTTTAAAATAATGGTAAAAAACGATATAGTGAATGAGGAATATAAAGTTTTTTTATTTTATTTATTATTTATTATAAATTAAAATTATTAATGTATTAAAATTAACTATTATAATTATTAGTATAATAACATATATATTAATTATAATATAAATAAAATAATTAATAAACAAGAGAACACAATTAATTAATATAATATGAACACTTTTGCAGTCAATGAAACAGTTTATACCGATGTGTGTGACTGTTTTTGGTACGTCTATATCAAGGGAAGTGCACTTTTCAAAGCAGTAATTGCTAATGATTTTTAAATGAGTTGGAACGATGATGTTTGATAAACTTATACATTTACTAAAACACGACAAGCCCAGTCTTGTGATGTTTTGTGGTAAGACGACATTCTTTAAATTGACATAATTACAAAAACACCCACTTTCAATGACGGAGACACTGTTTGGAATATCAATTTTGCTCATGTTACGACAATTGCAAAAACACTTGAACTCGAGTTTTGAAATTGTGTTTGGCAGTGTGATTTCTTGCAACGATTCACACAACTCAAACGCAGAATTTTGAATGTCACAAATTGCAGAGGAAAAGTTGACTGTTTTTAATGATTTGCAATGTTTAAAACAGGACGACTGGAGTTGCGACAGACATCCTCTGATATCAACAGAAGTCAAATTTGAGCATTTGTGAAACGCCTTTTCTCCAATGAAATTGGTGCAATGAGGAATGTCCACACTTGTTGACGACAAACACTCACCAAAACAGAATTCACCAATTGCATCGACTTTTTGTGGGAATGTGACACTTTCTAAACAATTGCAAAGTCCAAAACAATTTGTTGAGAGTGTTGAAAATGTTTTTGGAAGTCAAATGGAAGAGAGTCTGGTGCAGTTATAAAACGTGGCATCTTTCATGTGTGTGACTGTGTCGGGGAGTTCTATCGACTTCAAATCACTACAGCGCGAAATACACGAAATTCCAATGAACTGAAGAGGAGACAAAATCTTCACAGAAGTTAATTTGGAACAATTTTCAAAGGAGTGATTACCAATAGAAGTGACTGTATTGGGAATGACAATAGACTCGATGTGAGAATCCATAAAACAGACGTCACAGATGGTGACAGTGTTTGTAGGTATATTTGTACCACAAACAGGGGTGTCTTGTCTTGTGTATAAAAGTCTCTTGAATGAACAATTTGGGTGCGTCACTCTACATGTGCGAGAGTATGTCATTTCATACCAAATATTAATTTGATAGAAGTCAATCTTATCGATTGGTTCTATGTCGGTGGACTTAAAAATGGTGTTCCCAAAACATTGGTCGGTGGGTGACCAAATATTTAATGTTTCTATATGTGGAAAATAGTTGATTGTTTGTTTGTTTAGTGGTATTTGATTGAAACAAAACTTTTTTGTGTTATTCACAAACTTCTTGTTTACACATTCAAGTGTTATAAAGTCTTGTATTGTATTAAAGTACTGTGACACTATCATCATATGATATCCATCAAGTCGACTCATTTGATTGTTATATTAAAGTTATATTTTTATTATATTTATTAGTATATTTATTAGTATATTTATTAGTAGTAAAGTTAGAAAAAGTGCAAGTTGATAAAATTAACTATATTTTATTATAAACAACTATTAGTTATTAAATTATATTTTTATTTTTATTGAATATAGTATGCATATAGAGCAAAACACAGAGACGCCTCTGTTTGGGATTAAATCTCAACTTGTACACAATAAAATTATAATTATATTTGATTTCTGTTGGTTATATACATAAACACCTTCACATTGAAATTGATTTAATTAACAGGTTTTTCAATGAACAATAACAAGCTCCTTTAAAAATATTCATTTCTGTAAATTTACTCAACAAAGTTCAAAGGTTCGATTTTTTTTTACTAATTAAAATCAATTGTATTGTAACGCTTCAAATGAATTTTTAGATTGTTGAATTGTGTTGTATCGATTTTGTAATTTACTAAATTAGTGTGATAACTTGTTATTATGCATTTTTTTATTTACCAAATCATCATGTTCAATTTCAAAAAAAAAATAATATTATTTCCAAAATATTTAATAATTTTTGTAGAATTTGATTTTTAGATTTTGTTTTGATGATAATTTTGTAATTAGATTACCTAGTAATTTAACTACTTAGTAACCAAATTACTGTAATTACCTATTACCGAGTAATTTAGTAATTCAAATATTATTGCAGCTTTAGTTTATTTCGTCTGTAAATAAATAAATATAACATGTGAATAACTGTAAACAACTTATTCATGTGTTTTAAAATAAAATGATAAAAACAACATTAAAATTATAATAATTTTTCTTTGCTATTAAAAATCAACTATTAAACATTATACCACTTAACCAGAATAATTTATTTGTTTATTATCAATTTTTGAAATTAAAACAATTAAAAATACATTTTGATTGAGCTTTTTTTATTTGATTGGTCAAAAAAACAAATTGATTGAAGTTTGATGGTATTTAAAAACAATGGAAGTGAACTTACAAACATTAAAATTTATTAGTTATAAATGTCAACATTGCTTTACTCGAACAAACGTCTTGAAATGATTTATTTAATGAACGTTTCTCTGTATTTTGAAAAATTTGGAGATGTCCAACACTTTATTAAAATAAACAAAAAATGTCACCAGACTATTTGTTCTCTTCATGTAAATCCATTTTTCCTTTCTATATCAGACATTTTTCGTTTTGAAAAACACTTCCACCCAAACACATTAAACTTCAATGACTGTGAATATCAAAACATACCAAAAAGAAAACGCGGAACTCCAAATAACGTTGAAGCCTTTTTGGAACAAATCACTTCGAATTTACTTCGAAACGTCCCAAATAGCATTTCTCAGATAATTTGGGACCGCGGGTTCTCACATTATAAACAGTTTATTAGTAAAGTTGAATCAATTTATATCGACTTTCCTACCGAAAATAGAGACTTTGAAATACAAAATTTCTTCGGTGCCGAGACACGAAACCCACATGATCTTACACAATTATTTGACCACATCAGAGTCCTTAAAACATCGCCAATAACACTATTCCTGCTCTTGTCGCAATTCAATCTCAAACATTTGGATTGTAAAAAATTTCCACAAAGAGTCGAATTGTACATTGAAGAACGCTCTTTTAAAATGTATCCAATAACGTCGTTTTTGGAAATGTTGGATGAAAATATCAAGAAACTAAAATTTGAAGTTGTGTTCTTCTGGAAATTTATTGACGATAATACTTTGTATTTCTATGATAATAAGTTGGATGGAAAATGGGGAAATAAAATGTATTTTGAGTACATTAATGTCCACGGAGAAAGATCATACAAACTCTGGGATTTTGAAATGAAAGATAAAATTACACAAAGAATGAAAATAATTAAAAAACAAACACCGTTTTATTATTAATTCATTGAAAACAAAAAATCGTTTTATTCTATTTATATTTACTTGATGTTTTAAAAAAATGTAAAAATTGAATTGTTTAATGATAAGATGTATTTTCAGTTCATTTTTATTATTATTTTTTTTTCTATTATAAATATAATAAACTGAAAAGTATTAATAACTCTGATTAACTTAGTCAATTAAATCATTTGTATAATTTTTTAAATAAAAATTCTTTCAACATTGTTTCATTAAATGATTCACATATAGTTTTGTGACATGACAACAGAGTAACAAAAATAAATAGTTTTATGGGTTCCACTTTTTAATTTGTGGTATGATAAGTTTTTATATATATCATTGTACAAAGTTTAAACATGCGTTAAAATGTCGGTTGAACTTTTCAACAAAACATTTGACGATAATAAACAATTAAACGACTTTTTGAAATATGTTTTGTTTAAACCGGTCAATTAAAAACCACAGAAAATATTATTAAAAATATATATTTATTGCAGAAAATGTTAAATAAAATGTTTTTTATTTTTACAAAAAAAGTTCTTCACTGACAATAATTATTTTTGGGTTGTAACCATTATATCATACCCACATATTATATGTAATCTGTTTAGACCCAATTTATTTGACAAACGTAGAAAAATATATTTATTTATTATTAAAGCAAATTATATATCATTTGTTATTTCATAATGATTATAAATTGTTTTCATCATTTTTTACTATTAAACAAGTCTAAAATATAAATATAAAATTCAATTGATTTGTTTTTGCTACTTATTTAAAATAAATAAAAACATCAGTCTAATTTGTATTTTAAAGTAGATAAATACATATAATCAATACTTCATTATAAATATTTTCATTTATAAAAAAGTTGTATTTACTCAAATTTACAAAAAAATAAGTGTAAATAATACACTTTTGTTTATTTTTAACCATCTATGATTTAAAACAATCAATTTGTTGTTTGATGATTATAAATTATTTGTCTGATATTTTCCCAGTTTATTAATTGAAATATTTTATTTAATAGTATTATTATAAAAAACTTATAATTTTACATTATATTTTTAATATTTATTCATAACACTATGATATTATTAAATAATCAGTAATTTAAAAAAGTTTTGGTTGTTATATATTATAAAAATGTAATTTTTGTTATAATCTATTTGATATATATTTTTATAAAATAAAACTATTGATTATAAATGCAAAAAGTTCGATTTAACTATGCAAAACCAAAAACATAAAATTATCGAAGTGGTAAAAAGATGTATAATTTATAATATACAAATTAGTATTACAAAGTTCTTGACTTGAATTTAAAAATATTATTATAAATATTAAATTCAGATGTTAAATTTTTGAAAAAACACGCAACAATAATAATAAAGTGGTTTGAAAAGTTTTATTTAGCATTTGAATTTTGTAAGTCAAATAATTTTAAAATATATTGTTAAAAAAAACAGGATGCATGAAACAAATATAACACTTTTATTAGTTTATAAGTACATATATAATAAGAATTTTGCATAACAAGTACAATATACAATATTTAGTTATTAATAAAATATTGACCATAACAATAAATACAATTTAATTATGTCAATTTATATGTCAAACAACAACATGTGACGGGCAACAATGTTTATATATATATAACATTTGAATGTAAATCTACACTTCTTAGACTTATACAATCATCGAAACAACAACTACACGTTGATTTTATAAAATTGTATTTACACTACTCAAACTTGTACATTTAAATTAGCGAAATTATCCAATGGAAGTGATTTTTGCTGGTATTTCTAAACTGATCAAATCGTGACATTTACATTAAAAAATATTATCAAGTGATGTGACACAATCAGGTATGTCAATACTGAATCTTTCTTTGTCAAAATGTGTGTATGTCACATTTTTGAAAATAAATTTAATTTTTGTTTAAATGTACTGAACCATAACCAACATTGAACCACACTTTAACTTGATTAAAAATTAATAATCTTTGTTTTGTGTTTTTATTTGTTTTTTTCTTCATAATTTTTATTGTTTTGAAAGTCAACAAAATAATTATTACTTAAATTTTTATTCTTTTTTATACCATAAGTGGGGTGTTTCAATATTTGGAATTTTTTTTATAATTTTATGAGTTAATTGTATTAAGTTAAGAACAAACTTTTTATTAAAATTTGAACATATATTTTCAAAATAAATAATATCTTCAATATTTGCAAAATACTTTGATACGATCATAATGTGATAATTGTCAAGTGTTGGCATTGTCAAATTATAAAATTTTTTAAATAAATTCAGAACAATGTTGTTTGTTTTGATTTTTAAATGACGATTATAAAAATAAAGTCAGTCCAAAAACATTATTTATTTTGTTTACCTTGTTCATCGATTATTATTGGTAGATTTTTACGACTCAAAATTTACATATAACAAAAAGTGATTAATTTGAATGTCAACAATTTACTCTAAAAACAAAGAAGCGATGCTTTTTACACCAACAAACATAACAATTTATTTGGTACTAAAAGTAAACTAAAAACAATAGTGTTTTATTTGAAAACATGTAAGCGAACACACGTTATTTGATCTAATATGACAATGAATAAAAAATGTAACTGATAATATATAACGACGAAAATTATAAAAATAAGATGTGTCATGAGCGTTAAAGAATATCACGAAGTTTCAACAGCCAGTTTATCAACTCATTGATTTTGAAAAGATTTTTAAACTTTTTTGAAGTTTGTTAGCAATAACTTCTCATTATTTTGTCCAAATATATCACCAAATCAACTGTATTTATTCACGTTTAGATGTTTGGAAATGAAAGGTCGAATAATCTTAACTTTATTTATGTTAATGGTTGTGTAATTGGTTATTTAGTTTCTGAATAGTTATATTAATTATAATTTATTCTTATGTTATCAAATAAATTGAAAACATTTTCATTAAAAATAGATTAAAAAATATAAATAAAGTTTATTAAATGAATAACTTTTTTAGACTGACTTTGTCATATTTTTTTACAAAAATGGACCTGTCAAAAACGTAGCATATTTTGACCTTCCACATCCTCTCCTAAATCAGAATTTATTTGCTATTTTCAATAATTTGATTATTTAACAACAATTATTTTTAATTAGATAATAAAAAGAGTTATATTTTAAATGTTATATTATCATTTTATTTAAACTGTTTTAAATGAATAATTCGTTTAAAATAACCATAACACCAATTACAAACAAATTTACTATTTTCTCTTTTATTTTTTCATAGAGTATAAAAAATGTCAATTTTTCTTAAATATAAAAATTAAAGTTAAACCCGTTTTATTTTTTAGAAATAAATACAGTCAAAGGCTTCTATTTGTCGTAATTATAATTGTCGAACTTGCTTAATTTTCGCACAACTGGCCAATCATATTGGTGTACGACAATTAAATATTTTGTTTTCGAATCTGTAACTTTTGTTGAATAAAAAACTATATTTTTTATAAAAAATAAATTTCAATATTAAAAAAAATTTCTACAAAATTTACTCATTTACCACAAATAGATACTTTTTTTCTGCTGGATTCAAGACAAATTGAAACCTTTGACCGAGTTTAATAAATCAAACAAAGACCATAACAATACAAAAGAAAAGAAAATGAATAATTGGGTAGTTAATTTTGATATACCATATTTAATTGTTTTATACATATCTAAAAATATTAGATATTAAAGTTGTTTCTGTTTCGAAATTAATTTTATTTGTAGATATAATTGTTTAATAACATATAAAATGAAAATGAAAAAATAATTATAATTGTTTTTTATTTTTGTGTTGTCAAAAATGGGGATTTCAGGAATCGAACCTACAGTCTTTACCAAACCTGATAATTTTATTGAAAAGTAATACACTACCATTGTGCTAAATCCGCTTAATATATTTAATTGAATCAAACTTATCAAATTTTGTTAACTTGTTGATTATATTGATTAAATAATGTAAAACTTATTTTAAATTGTAGTAAAAATAATATTTATTGTTACAAATTATTTTTGTATTATTTCAAAAACATTAATTTAAACCCCCAATAAAAAGAACAAAAATATTTGTAATCGAATTCAAATTCAATTTCTAATTAATATTTTATTTAACCAGTTTTTTCCACCATTTTAATCAAAAGTAAGTATTTGCTGCTGTTGTTGTTTGAATAAAATTCACGTTTTAGCCATTGTTTGTGCTTTCAATGTCACTCACTTTCCTTGTTTGTACTATGTGGACTCAGATGTGATTCCGCCTAACAAAAAAAACTTGGGAAGTAGGTAAAACAATACACAAACAGATTGTTGTTGTGTGACCGCCCGAGTTTTCTTTTCAATGCTCCGTCTCACTCGGTATTTACCAATTCGAGGTGCTTTTTTGGCATTTCTTGAA